TTTAGACTAGTCAAGTGGAGTAGTGGAAGAAGGGAAAGAGTAGAACAAGGAGGTTGGTCTGTAACTGACTGTGAACAGTCAATTGAGATAACTCACTACCTTAGGACCAGACCAGCAGGAATTTTTTAACTAGGGCAGGACGGTGAGAGCAGAGGTGTATTTTGTCAATCTTTAGCATCAGAAGCTCAGAGAAAACATTTCTGTAGAGATGTAAATGGCCCCAAAGAATGAAGATGTTGGAATTTGGAACCATTTCAAGCTAATGAATAGTGATTTCTTTTTTCAGGGTTTTTTTTTTTTGAGACAGAATCTTGCTTTGTTACCCAGGCTGCAGTGCAGTGGTGTGATCTTGGCTCACTGCAACCTCCGCATCCTGGGTTCAAAAGATTCTCGTTTCTTAGCCCCCCAAGTAGCTGGGATTACAGGCATGTCCACTGCGCCTGGCTTTTTTTTTTTTTTTTTTTTTTTGTATTTTTGGTATAGACGGGTTTCACTGTGTTGGCCAGGCTGGTCTCAAACTCCTGGCCTCAGGTCATCTGCCCACCTCGGCCTCCCAAATTGCTGGGATTAGAGGTGTGAGCCACCGCTCCTGGCTGTTTTGTCTTTTAAATCATCAACAACGATTTAATAGTCAATTGGTGAATGCTTCCTCAATCCCTGGCTGAAAGGTGGGTGACTCTCTCTCCCAATCCTCTTTTGCATTTGCAAAATTGCGGCAGGGAAGAGGCTTGGGAAGTAAACTCATTTGCCTCCTCCCCACTGGATTAGCAAACAATGTCTCCATCTTCCCTGTGAAAATATCGGGTAGATTGGAGGCAAGTGTAACCGGCACATTTCACGGAGGAGAAAGCTGTGACCCATCCAGTTTGGATAAATGCCCTGTGGTTGGCGGGTCCAAAGCTCACAGTCATAGTTTGATATTTTAAACCCAAATTCCTAAATATATTTGTCCTTTTGCCAAAGCTGAACCTTAAATACATTTAATTTGGCCTGAAAAACATTATTTTTTTTTGAGACGGAGTCTCGCTCTGTCACCCAGGCTGGAGTGCAATGGTGCAATCTCAGCTCACTGCAAGCTCCGCCTCCCGGGTTCAAGCCGTTCTCCTGCCTCAGCCTCCCCAGTAGCTGGAACTACAGGTGCCCGCCACCACGCCCGGCTAATTTCTTTTTGAATTTTTAGTAGAGACGGGGTTTCACCGTGTTAGCCAGGATGGTCTCGATCTCCTGACCTCGTGATCTGCCTGCCTCAGACTCCCAAAGTGCTGGGATTACAGGCTTAAGCCACCGAACCCTGCCAAAAAAACATTTTTATAATAGAAAATTCAGCTGTTTATTTTTTTTTAAGATCTCACTTAAAAGGCTAGATTTCTGTTGACAAATCAGGAGAGCTGGCATTCAGGGTGTTAGAGTTGTGACCACCAAGGTGAGGCTGGGGATGAAATATGAGGAGTGGGAAGACCATGGGGCTCCGAGCTTGTTTTCAAGGCTGTTTCTTTTAGAAATTGCTCTCATGTGTTTACTTAGTCCAAACACTCCATCAAGAAACAAGGTGGCCCAGATTAGAACAGTGTACTTGCAGCTTCTTGGTTGCTAACATTGCCACAAAACAAATTACAGCAACAAAAATTTCCTTTTATAATAGCACATCCATAACTGGTATTGCAGAGAGTCTATAACGAGAGGCATGGTATAAATACCCTGGGGCCGTGGAAGAGATAGATGAAGAAGAAAAGAAAAAAAGCTTTCCAAACGCTATCATAAATAAGTGATTTTTGTTGTTGTTGTTGTTTTGCTCTGACTTTAGAAATAGTTATCAGCTCACGAAATCAAGCATTTTTGAGACAATGAATGTCTCAGCATGGGGGCTAATGAGAGAACAGATAACTGCCTGGGGCTGAATATCTGATTTTTCAGGGAGAAGAAAAGCTGAAATGAGGGGATAAAGTGCCTATTCTGTTGTGTAAACAGAAAGTGAATTAGAGAGGAACATGTTTGTATCCTATAAAGTCTAACAGCCACTTAAGTGGATGGTATTATTTGAGAAGACAGAGTTTGCTGCTAATGGCCACTCCGCTCATCTCCCAGCTTGGCAGCTGCTTAGTCTTAAAAAGCTGCGAAAGAACAGGAACAGAGTCCTGCTTAGTGAGTGGACTGAGCACGGGGGTGATTCTGATGCTCTGTGGGAGACAGCAGGTGATCGGGAATAGCCCATGGTTAGAAATCGAGTATATAGGAATCGATGATAGTAGCTAATGTTTTTCCAAGGGCTGATGACATACCAGAGACAACCCCAAACAGGCATTTTGCAGGAATCGACTAAATGTTTAAAACAGTCCTACTGATGCAGGATTTGTATTGGCCCCTTTGCTGGACTCATAGCAGGGGGCACCCCATCTGCTCAGCCTGCCGTGCTAGCCCCTGGTGGGAGGGAGCATGTGAGCGAGTGAGTGTGGGGTCCCGCTGGCCACCTGGAGTGCTGACACAGGAGCAAGCTACATGTGGGGCCCGTGACCAGACAGGGCATGTCACCCCCAGGGGAAGGTGGCAGGGCCCAGGCAGGGGTGCTCACCACCCTGAAGCCGCAGAGCGGGTATTACAGTGTGCATAGCACTTTTAGTTCCACTGCCTTCCTGCAGCTCGGCAAATGGTGTCGTGTTAGCAGCTCAGCCAGCCTCTTGCCCTGCTCTGGCCTGTGGCTCTGGGACTGGTGTGGCTCCAGGGCCAGCTATGTACCCCCACGGCTGCTTCTGTTGCATGGGGCAGCTGCCTTCTACTGGTGAGGGCAAAGGGCCAGTGTTACAGTCTTTCTGGGTACCCACGTTCCCTGGGTCCCAAGCTCTTGTCCAGCGTCCAAGAAGAATGAAGTCATGCTGACAATTGAAGGGCAGTAAAGGTGCAAAATTTTATTGAGTAACGAAACAGCTCTCAGCAGAGAAGGAGCAGGAAGGTCGGGTCGTCTCTCCTGAAGTCAGGTCGTCTCTCTCAGTATGTCTGAATCTGGAGCTTTTACAGGCACAGGATAGGGGAGTGTGTGCTGACTGACTTGCGAGTATGCAAAAAAGGTTAAAACAAAGGCACCAGTCAGAGGTGGACAGAGTGTGAAGATAATTAGGGTAGGTGTATGTAAAATAGGTGAAGGGTGGGGATCAATCAAAGGAAAGCACGCCAAACAGGAAGACGGGTTCTCAATCCAGTCTGTGAATTTGACTTGTAGCTTGGCCTTCAGACTTTAAACTGTCTTTGTCTTGAAGGTGGGGTTTCACCGGGAACCTGTCCCTGTCTGCCTAGGATTTTTTTATTGGCCCCTCTGCTGGACTCGTAGCAGGGGGCTACTGCCTCTGTCTCCTGCCTCTGTCACTACAAGGTGAATTCTGTAATAATCCCATGCTCTAGAGAAAGAATTCAAGGCACACAAAGTTTATGCCATGAGTTTTAAAAGATTTAGACCCCAGCAGTTTGGTATCAATGCTTATGCTTGGCATAGTTTTTTAGTGGAAGGCCAGAAAATAATTTTAGAGTATTACTGACCAGATGGTCTCTCTCACAACTATCACCTCTGCTGTTACAGCACAGAAGCAGCCACAGACGATGTGTAAAGAAATGGATGTGAATGTTTTCTGATAAAACTTTATTTGTAAAACCTGGTGGGAACCAGGAGCTAGTCTGTGTACCTTAGCTTGCTAGCACCTCTTCTAAACCCACTCTGTTCTGCCTCTCAGAAGCATGCTATTCCAGGAAAAGTGGCTGCAATTACAGGGTCCTGGGCCTTCAGGAACTTGTCCTATATCTTGCTGTGATGTCTCTCTGTCTATTGCTCTTTCTTTGGCCTTGATGCTTAAACTAGAAACAGAAGCTAACATATGCCACTTTTCCTCAAATTTTTTCTGAAGTTGTTGTCTTTTTACAGGATTTCATGTGAGGAGAGGTCAGTGAATACACGAGGAAGGATGCCTCTGGGAGCACATAGTGAGAGGAACTAGGAACTTGCCTTGTAGGATTTGTCTGATGAGGGGGAGGTAAAAGATTATATTTGCATTTCTAAAGGGCTAAGTAGGAAGCTGGGAAAAGGGAAGGAGGAGAAAAGAAGATAAAATAATAAAACAATTATTTCCTAGTAAATTAGGGGTTCTCGGTTACAAAATGAACTAGGTTTGTTTCAATCTGTAGCTCAGACCAGTGGTTCTCAAGCTGTTTTTGCACAGTGGAATTACCAAGAGCTCTTAAAACATGTCTGTTCCTGGCTCCGACCCTCTAACATTCTGGCTTAATTGCTAGGACCTGAACCTGGTCATTAGGCAATTTAGAAGGTCTCCCAGGTGATTCTAATCTTCAGCACAGTTGGGGAACCACTGACATAGACTCTTCATCTTATAACAGCCTGTTGGGGGTTTGTGGCTTCTGCTTGGGGGAAGGCAGGGAGAAGGGAAGAGACAATGCCTTTGCCTTCTGAGTTTTGAGCAGTTCCAGTGCCCAGAAAACAGCACCCTAGTACCTGACAAATAGACAGATTGGTGAGTGAATAGGTGGATGTGTCAGAGGCATTTGAACCAGAGCGACTCCATCTTGAACATGAGCTGGGTAAAATGAGGCTGAGACTCTCTGGGCTGCATTCCCAGGAGGTGAGGCATTCTAAGTCACAGGATGAGATAGGAGGTTGGCACAAGGTACACATCATAAAGATCCTGCTGATAAAACAGTTTGCATTAAAGAAGCCGGCCAAATCCCACCAAAACCAAGATGGCAAGGATGTGACCTCTGTTTGTCCTCACTGCTCATTATAGGCCAATTATAATACATTAGCATACTAAAAGACACTCCCATCAGCACCATAACAGTTTACAAATGCCGTGGCAACATCAGGAAGTTACCCGATATGGTCTAAAAAGGGGAGGAAACTTCAGTTCTGGGAATTGTCCACCGCTTTCCCGGAAAGTTCATAAATAATACCCTGCTCTTATCATGGCATAAATCAGAGGAAAGTAAACAGACCAAGATGATCTTTATAAAATTCCTGTAATTGTTAAGTGTGATTGAACAACAGCATAATACTCTCCTAACCGATTCCCACAGGTGCATGCATTGAGCCAAGGGCTGGGAGAGCACTTTGTTGGGAGCCCTAGTTAAGGGGTTCACGGTGCTTGTGAGGAGCAGAGATGCGTGAGCCTCCTCGCTGACTTTTCAGGTCCTCTCGCCGCTCTCGGACTCCATCCTGGCTGAGAAGACGGTGATCGTCCTGGATGACCGAGTCACCATCGCGGAGCTGGGAGTGCAGCTCGTAGCTGGCCTGTCTCTCTCCCTGCAGTCTCACCCAGCAGACAAAAGGGCCATCGTCTCCACAGTCGCTGCCCTGGATGTTCTTTAGTCCCCACAACAGGTGAGTGTCACAGGGGCCCTGTGTCCCTGGTCAGTGGAGACAACTTTTCTCTCAGTTAGCACATCCTGTGAAGGAGAGCAGGAGTCCTCATGCCTAGAACTGGGGATTCTTGAAGCTTCTTGCTTCTTATCCAGGCTGCCCTGTCTCTGAGGAAAGTATTCAGTGGCTTAGACACATTTCCTCTTATGTGCTTTTCCACACCCACCACATCCCCATACACCATTTGCTTTACCCTGGGCTTATCTGTGCCAGGCACAGCCTGCTGCTAGACCGTGGCCAAAGGATCACGTTTTCACTTTTCTAGAATAAATTATATTTGATATCTGAAAATTCGATATCAGCAATGTAAACAAATAGAGCTTGCGAACCCCGAATATCAGAGACAGGTCTCAGTCAATTTAGGAAGTTCATTTTGCCAAGGTTAAGGATGCACCTGTGACACAGCCTAGGGAAGTCCTGACACCATGTACCCAAGATAGCCGGGGTCTACAGCTCGTTTTTATGCGTTTTCGGAAGATACGAGACATCCCTCAGTACACGTAAGATTTACATTGGTTCCATCTGGAAGGGCAGGGCAACTGCAAGGTTGGGGGAGCTTCCAGGTGATAGGTCGATTTCTACATATTCCGACTGGCAATTAGTTAAAAGAGTGTTGAATTATTATCAGTAGAAGGGAATGTCTGGGTTAGGATAAGGAGTTGTAGAGATTTAGGTTTTATCATGCAGATGAAGCCTCCAGGTTGCAGGCTTTAGAGAGAATAAATTGGAAACATTTTTACCAAACTTAAGATTTGCGTCGATGTTAATACTGCAGGGGCATAAGGAGGCATATTGGATCCACACTTCCCATCCCATCGTGGCCTGAGCCAGTCTTTCAGGTTAAATCTTACAGTGCTCTGGCGAGGAGGAAGTTCACTTAGATGCTGGAACGGTGAGTGGACCTTCGAATTTTATTTTTGGTTTACAAGCTAAAAGGCACCAATTCCTGTTGGTTTATATTAATTATTAACAAGTCTTAAACCACAACCCCATCTTTGAACTTGAAGCAAATGTGTTTCAATTATCCCAAGTTCATTGTGTCTTCAAGCACGCTAATCTCCCATAATACATCTTTCCTCAGATACTTTCAGCATGGCTTCCTAATAAAAATGCTTGACGAGATTTTATCTTGAGCCTGATTAGTCGCACCTGAAATTGATTTGCATGCATCATGTGATCTTTCAAGTTCTTTTTGGAAACGTCAAAGTCAAATCCTGTTATGTGAGATTCAATCCGTTAATATATACATGACTGCATTCATTAAAGTATATCATTTGTTCCTTGCACCACTGGGGCTATAAACCATTATTGACGTCAGTTGAATATATGACAGCCACTGTTCTGGATTCTAAAACACAGAAGCTTATTTTCCTTGGTATGCAGAAAACGTATTTTATAGGAGACCACATTTGTGTACGTGTTCAGAAATTTGAAAGAACCTGTGTTGGTTTCACTTTCTTTAGGAAGTAATAGTCCTTGGATGTTGTTCAGTGATAGTGTGCTCGGTTGATTTTGTTCCGTGATCTCTTTAGAGATTTGTTAACCTGAGGATTTTTCAGTTACTGTCTTATCATTGGATGAAATGGTGGTGCCTGTCCAGGCAAACCTGGAGTCCAAATGGTTGGTAGCGATTGCAGAAGGTGAAGGACAGGTGCTCTTGTTTAAATTAGAAATGATGATTAGTGAGCTTTTCAGGTTCGCAATGAAGAAGAGAGTCAAGTTTACTTCCTACATCAGCATCCTCTGAGGGGATAGTGGACCATACACCAACTCTGTCCTGTTTGACAATGATAATAACATCAAGTGGGTCTGCCAAAGTGTGCAGCTGGGGGAACCCCAGGACTTTGGAGACTGCAGTTGGCCTTCTGCATTTGCGGTTCCGAATTTGTGGATTCAAGGAACCTCAAATTGAAAAATATCCTCCCCCAAAACAATGAAAAGTAACAATACAACAGTAAAAATAATGAAAATTTAAAAATAATGCAGCATAAACAATATTTACATAGAATTAGCATATAAGTAATCTGAAGATGATTTAAAGTATAAGAGAAGATGTGCATAGGTTATCTGCAAATATTGCACCATTGTATATGAGGGACTTGAAAATCCTTGGATTTTGGTATCCATGGAGTTCCTGAAACCAATGTCCTGTGGATGCCAAGGGACTATTTAATATGGGAAAACTGCAAGACCAGATGTAAACTCTTTTCTTATGTTTGTATTTATCTGCATATCTTTTGGTTGCTTCAGTAGTGAAGTGGTGAGTTTTATCATCAATAGGGGATGATTTAGCAAAGCTTAATTTGTGGAAGTCTTGTAGGATCTCTTTTTAGGCAGGTAACAGAGGTTTGAAGCAGATGGCTTTTAAGTGAGGGTGTGCCCCAGACAATGACACGGAGATGCTGGAAACATCACAGGACAATATTTTCACATACTTCCTGGAACTGGTGCTGTACAATAAATCTAAGACTTTGGATGCTATTAGTCATCTGCGGGTAAACAGCCACTTGGAATCAGAAAGGATTTGGGCATTGATTTTTCTATTCTTAGTCTCTTACGAAGCATAGTGGCCACCGCTTGTCCTTGGCCTGAGAGTAGGTGCATATAAAAGATAATGGAATGTTACCACCCTTATTTGGAAAGAGCACTGCTCTTGTTTTGAATACTGAGGGAAAGGGCTGGGACTAAGGAGCGGCTGCCAGAGGGTAGTGGAGGGTGCCGCAAGGTACTGCAGGATGCTAAATGTTCCTTCAGGGTGGCAGAGCATGCTGGAGGGTGCTGGAGTGTGCTGCAGGGTGCTGCAGAGTGCTAGAGGGTGCTGGAGAGTGCTGTGGGGTATCGCAGGGTGCTGGAGGGTGCTAGAAGGTGCTGGAGAGTGCTGCGGGGTACCGCAGGGTGCACTGCATGACTCCGAGTGCACCTCATCCATCTCTTCCTACACCCTCCCTGCATATGCATTAGCAGCTAATTTCTTTGGCCTGTGTAATTTTTCTGGAAATAGGAATAGAAAACACAAAATCAATGTTTATTTCAAGATCTGTTTGATTGGCATATGTGTTTTATTTCCTGGGATTTTTCATGTCATGTCATCTACTGGGTATCCATGCTGGCTGTCGAGTTTTTTCCACTTTTCCTCACTTTAGTGTTCGGGGGCAGTACCTAAATTCTTACCCTGACTTTATCTTTTCCTGTTTCCCGTTTTGAAATCTTGAGGTGTTTTTCTTGTTTGTTTTTGTCTGTTTTAATTGTTATTTTCGACTTGGGGATACATGTGAAAGTTTGTTACATAGATGAACACATGCCATTGGGGGTTGTTGTACGTATTGTTACATCACCCAGCTATTAAGCTCAGTACTCAATACTTACCTTTTCTGCTTCTCTCCCTCCTCTTCCCCTGCCCCTCAGGTACACCTCAGTGTATGTTGTTTCCTTCTTTGCATTCATAAGTTCTTATCATTTGGCTCCCACTTGTAAGTGAGAGCGTGCAGTATTTGGTTGTCTGTTCCTGCATTAGTTTGCTAAGGATGATAACCTCCAGAAATCATTTGTATATGAATTTGGAAAATAAGTTTTATTTAACATGTGAGTGTATAATAAAAAAGTACTGGTTTATAAATGATTTTTAGATAAACCTTGTAGAGTTTGGGGAAACACTGAGAACCATATACATATATATATATGTATATTTCCTCTCTGGTAGTTGTAACTTCATGGGGAGCTAATATTTTGGGGGGTTAAATCTTTTCACTAAAATACTATTAGCTCTACCTATGCAAGCATTTTGTGGGTATCATATCTCAGTATGCAATATGAAGTCTAAAAATAGTGTTGATGTGCACAAAAATGAAACTGCCTGGGAAGCTTCTGCAGCTGAGGCTTTCCATTTGCTTGAACAACAGTAAAAATAAATAAATAGAAGCATGTTTCTATTTACCAATATGTAGAAATCCACCTGTAGGGTGACCAGAAAATATTCACAATTGTCTTTCTCGTAGAGGGAAAACATGCACAGTATGCTCACTGAGGGAGAAACTAGCGGGTAGTACAAAAAAAAAATCACAGAAGTGAATGGACACTCTAAAAATTGAGAAGCAATTGTCAGGAAAAGCACAGGTCCTGTAAATCAAAGTGACAAAGAAAACACTGCATAATTTCTGCATTACTTTTAAAATAGAAAAGGTTTCTGAATTAACCACAGAAATGATCCTACACAGAGCAAGACTGCAAGAGCAGGAAGATTTAATAAAAAATTTATATATAAAGATGGACCAGCTGCTGAGACAAATATTGATCTAGACTGGCTTATGAGAGTCTCCGTTGAGCCGTTTCTTCTCTAAGCAATAGAGTTTTAAGGAGCGGGCACTGGAGAGACTTGCAGGAGTCATCTGAGGTAGCTCCATGACTTCAAGAGGCTGATGACTCAGCTATTCAAAATAGAGTGCAGCCATCCTCCGATTATAGATGTCCAGGGATGGAAGCATCCCAGGCTCGCTTCCTTGATGATCTCATCACATCAGTAGCTGAGTTCTTCCTGTGTCTCTCGTCCACGGGTCCATAGTGTGTCTAGGGGCCGTGTGCAAATCATGGGTGATGTGATGGGTCTGCCCCCAGGAGCAGGTGTTCAATGAGTTCTGTAGATGTGAAAGTTGTAGTTGAAAGGTGAAGTTGGTAACACTTGATTTTCTTTTTCAATTCCAATGAAGCCGGGAGACCCAAGACATTTGCTGTAAACAGATTATTTAAAAAGATGACTAGTGCTTGTAGTCAGAGCTCCTCTTCTAGCCAGGATACGGCTCCATGGTCTCTGCAGTGTTCTCTGGGGAGATACCCCCACATGGCAGAGAGAAGTACATGCTAATTTAGGCGTAATTATTCAAATGAAACCTGCTGCTTCTCAAAGCTGCTTTCCATGGTCTCTCCTTTTTGATGCTTGACATTTGGCCCAGGCGTAATGAGAATTCATTTCTGAAACCGGAGCCTCAAAACCCCATTACAGGGCGAGTCATACACTGTCAGCCAGGACGGATCCCTCTGGAAATGGAGACTTTGTAGAATTTGGGGGTTGGATGGGGAGAACTTGCCTGGTGGATGGGAGAGACAATGGGTATCACCTTAGTGATGAAAAACCCAATTAAGGCAGCCTGAAGTGTAACAGTTCCCATGGCGAGAGGGCTCAGCGTGGTACAGGAAGGAAACTCAGAGTATGATGATGTGGCAGAAGTTCTCATCCAAGCTGGAAACTACACCACTTTTTCAAAGAGAACTCTGTCAAGAGAACATGTAGAAATGACAGAAGGGCTCACTGAGATACGGTCTCTCCCGTGCAGTCACGACTTTCCTTGTGCCTGAACTTTTTCAGCCCCTCGTCGAAAACTCAACAAAAGGCTGCAGTTCGTTGGATTGTGATTCTTCATTTTTTCTCAGGTTTGCCATTGACTTTCATCGGGTTAATATAATTTTATTAATTTTTTCTTCTCTAAATGTTTCTTGCCAATTAGAAACCGTGGGTTATATTTATCCTTGTTTTCCTCAAACAGAATAGGTATTGCACTCCAAAAAACATAAACCAATATGGAAAAATGAACGTGAATTATTAGATTCTGAGATGCAGTTTTTTGGTGGGTCCTAAGATGTTTGCCTGAATCAAGTAGGATCTTAGTGGATGAGATATTCAAACTTTTGATCTGAAAAACGATTTCATCCAAAATCTGGCATGAAGTCCCTTCCTTTTCTCCAGGATGCAATGGTTCAGATCTTGATCAGATACTAGAACTCCTGACATCATTTCAGCATCCTTTCATTTTGCAAATGCTTCAGGTACAGAAATCCAAATGCTTCAGATGCAGAAGTCCAAATGCTTCAATAAGACCATGCAGCTTAAAAGATTTGAGT